CCTTGCCTACTTTGAGGCCCCGCACGCACACCAGGACACACCAGTGGGACGAGCGTTACGCGTCGTATATACAGCGTGCCGGCTTCCTCAAGCTTGTCCGTGTTGTCAACTATGATCTTCCGCCCTTGACCCAGCACTACTTACTGCAGCTGTAGACAGGTGCGAGTGCCTTTCTTGTACGTAAACATTCTTATAACAAATTTAAGGCAACTAATAGTCATTCTATTCTTATAACAGGTGGAGGCCTGAGACCCACATATTCCACCTACCTTGCGGCGAGATGACCTTGACCATGCAGGACGTGAAGGCTATCTTTGGCCTTCGGTTGGGGGGACTTCCAGTGACAGGGATAGTTGACAACGATCACTGGAGGGAGCTGGTGGCTCAGTTCACTGGCTTTCTTCCACCGGACGATAAGGCTTCCAAGAAAAATAAGTGAGCAATTCATCCCTATTTAATACCTACATTGCTTTCCTGTAGTCATCGGGTCTCATTTTCTTTGGTCAATTTCAGGAAAAGTTCTGGTGTTTCGTCATCCTAGACCACAGAGTGCTTTGATTACTTAGACCCATAGGCTGAGGAGGCTCAGATCGATAGGTTCGCTAGAGTGTGGCTTTGGCACTTCCTTGGTGCTTTCCTCTTCCCAGACGCCTCGGGCAACACCATCAACTGGATCTTCCTTGACATACTACGCCAGCCGTGGGAGAACATAGCGGTATATAGCTGGGGCAGCGCAGTCCTGGCATGGACGTATCAACAGCTGTGCGTTGCCTGCCGTCGCACCTCAGGGTATGCGAACCTTGGGGTTGCTCCTACCTACTCCAGTTTTGGTGTTGGGAACGATGGCCCGTTGGGATGCCCCTTAATACTGGTTTACCGGTAAGTACTTCGGTTCACTATATTCTTCGAGGCAGCTACATATGATAAGATTATTAATGGCTAATTCATTATCGTGTTCAATGCAGCAATGGAACGGGCAGGATACACTCCCTACAGCTCTGTATATCTGGACGGAAGCAGAGTTAGTTAGAGGGAATGCGAGGCGTAAGTACAGGGAGTACACGGATGGTCTCGACGTCCTGACACAGCACAAGGTTATGCTCTCTTTACTATCATACATGTGTCTTGTTCGATGTACACTATATCACAACCGAACTCAATTATGAAATGTTCAGGTGCATTGGTGTCCTTGGGATGCTCTGGAGCTCGAGTACTATCTGAGTCCTATCACTAGGGACGAGTCAGACGAGTATCGCTGCAACGTCCCTCTTATTTTCTTCCACGTGGTCGAGATTCACTTGCCCATTAGAGTCTGCAGATAGTTTAGAAGAATGACAGGCTGCCAACCACCGCTTTACTCCACCAACCAAGGATTGCACGGGTGCGTTATCGATTAATATCAAAGCTACAATTCAGAGGTGTGTGTGGTACAACTAACATCGTTTTGTTGCAGGTATGACCGCAGGAAGAGGTACAAGACCAAGGATTGGCGCGTGACACACAACGCGCACATCCATTTGTGGGAGACCAGGGAACGATAGCCAGTCCATGCGGGTCCTCCACACGACCAGCACACCTTCGATGAGTACCTACGGTGGCTTCACAGGTCTATGAGGACACATATCAAGCCCCCGTACACTGAGTAGGCGATTGACGAGGACTCGGAGGAAGATGTGATCGAAGATGTGTACGACATTGCCACTAGAGAGGACACACAGCTACAGAGAGCCCTGCTTCAAAGATACATGGTAAGATACTTGAATGGTACAATTTGTTATCCTTTTGGTATTAAGTATGTGTACTAAAACTGTCCAACCGCATTTCTATACCCAGGCAACACAATTGTCAAGGATGTCCAACGAAGCAGCGTTCCGGCTTCACGAGTCTAGAGGGCAGGGGTCAGGCGTTCTCGAGGCTTTTATGGAGGTAAACATAAACTTTTCCGTTCTGAAAATGTTTCTTTAGTGTATATGCGTTTAGGAAATGCACTAATTTTAACGTCTATTTATGCAGAAGGTGAAGAAGAGCTGCAGGAAGCTAGCTCAGAAGCTGAGCTGCATGGACACTCCTTATGTGGAATCGCCACTCCCGGCGCGGTCGGGTGGCACGTCTTCAGCCTCTTTGAGGACACCAGCCGGCTCTTCTCAGCCGGTGACAGGTGCCACTTCCGTAGTGCGTACACCACCACATCATAGCGCTGGGAAGGACCCTGCAACCGAGGACGACGATGACGACGACGATGACCCCCCGGGCTTCCACAGACAGCACGGTCAGTGGGACGATTGGCCGCAGGACGAGATCGGCATGTATCAGCTAGGTGGTGCCCCGCTTGGTACCCAAGGAGCCTCACAGGTACTATCAAAGATAGTTTCTTTAAATACGTAGGCTCCATGAACTAACGATCATAATGAATTATAAGTAATCATGCATATCATATACTTGCAGGGTACGAGCCGTACGCACCGGTGACGCGACCACACCGTTGGCTACACTCCCAATGTGTTGCCAATAAATCTGAAGAGACAGAGGCGTCCGAGGGATCCTTAACTCCTGGGTCTTAGTTTGTTAGGTCGAACGAATATTGGCGTCCGAAACTTACAGGCTTAGTTGGTTATGTTATGTCGAACTTATGTCAAACCAATAAAAATTTTATGTGGCAGCTTGTCAACTTACACACGGACTGTATTTATTTGCTTCATATTCGTTTCAATGCGTCGCGGCAGTACTGCCGGCGACATTAAGTAGCAACTAGTTCGGGAACCGGCGGTCCCGTCGTATCTCGACGCCGGTGGCCGGCGTCTTGACCTTGATCCTCCCGAGCTTGGTCATTGCCGCCACGAAATCGCCGAAGAAGGCACCCTGGTTAGACGCCCAGTAGTCGACCGTGCTGCGCGACCTCATGTCGGACGAGAGCACCTGGTCGGAGCCCACCAGGAAGGGGTCGAGGAAGCCGGGGTCCATAGTCCATGATCGCGTCGCTACCGATCCTCAACCAAAAGCAGCCGATCTTCTATCTGCGTCCAGGTCTTGCCGCGCCATACGCCGTGGCGCGTCAGTGCCGCGCTAAGATCGGTGGCACGGCAGACCCTGCCACGTCACCGGTTAGTGGCCCCGGTCTTCGCCACGTCACCCTCCTGCCGCACCACCATGCATGGCGCGGCACAGGCATTTCGCCACTCCATGACAATAGGCACGGTCAAAAGTGTTAGTTAAAAAAACAGTGTTAGATTTAAAATTAGTTTTAAAAAAGTGTTAAAATTAAAAAAAAGTCACCCTCTCGTGGCTCCTCGCTGTTTTTGTAAAAAAAAAACTAGAGTTCGTTATGCCATTCATTGTCCAGTCTTCCCTGCCCTCCCTCTCTCGCCCTCTCTTGTCTTGCCCAGAGCCGCTGCCGCTGCAAAAAAAAAAGAGAGGAGCGGTGACCTCACATGCACCGCAGGTGACCTACTATAAAAGTCATCAATCACGTTGTACTGCCCACGTTGGATTTATTAATCACAAAATAAAACGATATGGACTATTTGTGAACCACTTAAACAGGTTTTTGACCCAGAAATACAAATTTAAAGTTAGCGAACCCAATCCACAAAGGCTAACAAGTTGATATGCATTTTATTCAAGTTAATTATAAGAATTGCTAAACCTCAACCGGTTGTTTCGGCGTCTCCCAGCAACCGATTTCCGGATCGGTCACGGCCGGCCTTGGAGCTCGCGGCCCCGGCCATGACAGGCGCGACGTGGGGCGGTGGCCAGTGACGAGGAGGCCGAGCCAGCGACAATGGTGCGGGTCATGGAAGTCACGGAAGGAAGGGATAAGGTTGAGGAGGGTGGGTCCCACCGTAATTTGTGAACTTGTAATTTGTTCTGAAATTTGTGAATAATTTGATATATATTCTCTAGATATATGCAATTCATAGAAAGAATTTGTAAATTTATCTGAGATCTGCTATCAATAGAAATAAAAGTTATGTTATCCCAAAATTACATCACTCTGTCCAATAAATTACACCGAAGAAATCATTGTAAATATAGTAATAGGACAATGTAAGGTCCCGTTTGGTAGAGCTCCCAACAGCTCCAGCTTTATCTGACGCATTATAGGAGCTATTTTTCTCTCTCCTCTCTTCAGGCTCAGTGAGAGGAGGAGAGAGGAGAGAGAGAAAGAGCTCATGTGAACAGTGTATGAACAACCGCCGGAGCTGGTGGGAGCTTTACCAAACGGGGCCTAAATATAGCTATAAGACAGTGTAAGTTTATGGGCAAAATTCAGTTGCTAGGAGGGGCCAAAACAATCGAATGTTGGGTAGATAGATTTCAAGTTATATGCTAATCAAATTATGTCACCTGCATTAGCTGTTAGGGCAGTTATACTAATCTTATTATGTCATGTCCAAAGTTATAAAATAAAATATTTACCATAAATAAGCCACATATGCATGGATTAGATCTAGAAAAAAAAGATTTTTGTATATCTAAAATCTTCCTTACCTATCCTATTTTACCGAATTAAAGAATAAATAAATATATATTTCACATATTACCTCATATGGTAATATATGACCCTAACCATTCGATCTTATTAAAACGAATGACTCAAAGTCATTAAAAGTACCGTAAAGTCCTTTCTGAATGCTCCCATCTTTTTTCACAGTACCTCTCTCTATCTATCCTTTTTGTTTTCTTTATGCGTACCACATCCTTTTATCTATTTTGGGATAGAAGTAGTAGTTAATCTTTGCAGGATCTCAAGAATTTTCCGAAAGCTAGTGCATCCGCGAAATCAGGTTGAGCTATAGTAACATCAGCGTGTCGACCGAAACTGCTCAATCGTGCCCGAGCGTCCACCAGTGGAATGAGTGCTGAACCGGTCCGCCACGTGACTGGGCATGGCGGATTCACGCGCACTGCCCATGGGTGCCGTGTTAGAAGTGACAAAAGATGTGCCATGGGTGCCGCCGCTCTTGGCCGACGAGGCAAACGAGTGCTCCGCCGTCCGGTCACTACTCACTAGTTGACGAGTGGCCTCCGGTCTTGGCACCTGCGGACGACGACGTGGTGGTGGTCGACCAGTAGTAACCCCTAGCAACAGGCGGCCCATACGTGGCAACCGGCATCTCCAGCGGGAGCTCCGGCAATGGCGCCTCGAACTGGAGCACGCTCATGGCCTGCCGGATGGATGCCCGGGACGCGTAGTCCGGATGCACGCACCAAAGCCCCACGCCTAGCACCCGCTCCATCTCCAGCGGCTGGAACCCGCCCCCGCCGTCGTCCAGCCGCGGGTCTGCCGCGTCGAGGAGCTCGCCCCTCCCGTACAGATCCCAGACCCACTGCACGAGAAGCACCTTGGTCTCGTCCTCCTCCTCCGGGACGACGGGTTTCCTGCCGCAGGCGATGTCGAGGAGGACGATGCCGAAGCTGTAGACGTCGGACTGGACGCTGGCGCGGCTGGTCACCGCGCACTCTGGGTCCATGTACCCCATCGTGCCGGCGAGCATGGTGGTGCGCGCGGCGCGGCTGTGATTGACGAGGCACGCGAGGCCGAAGTCACCTAGCTTCGCGTTGAACGACGAGTCCAGCATCCCGTTGCTCGGCTTGATGTCCCTGTGCACCACACACTGCTCCCATTCCTGGTGAAGGTACAGGAGAGCAGAGCCCATGCCAAGGATGATGATGTACCTGATCGACGCCCAAAAAAGAAAACTGAACTTGTAATGTCTGACAAGCATGCATAAACTATCAGCTGGACTTGATTGATCAAGTTGTTCATGATACCTGACTGGCCATGTTAGAATGTTATCTGTGCTATAGAGATGGTCGTCAAGGCTGCCGTTGGTCATGAGCTCGTAGACAAGCAGGAGCTCGTCGGCGTCATGGCACCACCCGATGAGCTGCACAAGGTTGCGGTGCCTGAGGCGGCTTATGATCGTGACCTCGGAGATGTACTCCCTCCTCCCCTGCTTTGACATCTTGGAGACCTTCTTGATGGCCACATGGAGCCCTTGATCCTGCAGGTAACCACGGTAGACTGATCCGAAGCCGCCCTCGCCGAGCTTCTCCTCGTCGGAGAAACCTCGTGTCGCTTGTGACAGCTGGTTGTAGGTGAATCTCCGAGGTCCGGCCCCCATCTCGAACTCATCGTCCATTTCTCCATGGAGGTGGAGAGGAGCCTCTTGCTTTTGGTTGGTGCCCTTTCGTTTCAGGTATTTGCCGTAGCTGAGCCATGCAGCTACATTGAGTAGTATGAAGATTCCAGTGGATGACAGTCCGGCTATTCGGCCTATGCTTAGCCTTTTTGATACTTTGATTCCTGTCATTTAAAGATGCATCACTTCGTTCAAAAAAGAAAAAGATGGATCACAGAAGTAATCATATCCATGAATAATAATAAAAAATTGCATAAATCAATACCAAAACCACTGCAGAAGCTTATTATAAAACACACATCATTGGCTTATGAGCATACACCATGTTCCCCAGTGATTTTTCTTTAACAACACTATGTATAATTGTATATATACAGTGAGAGTGCACAAGTCATCTAAGATAGATAAAAACATTGTTCCCAGCAGATTTTTTTATGCATTTGATTTCAGTAAAAGCAATATACACATTTATGTTCATACATCACATAAGATGTGCCCCTGACAAATCGTTGCGCGTACCAGCACGTCTTCAGATCAGGAGCGGCGACGACGACGGCCGGCCACGGCAATCCAGCACGTGCTCGTCGTGCTCCCGCCGTCCGCAAGTGTACCCGACCACCGGTGCCCGCCCCTCCTGCTCCTGCTTCTTTGATGTGCCCCTGGCAAATTGTTGCGCGTACCATAGACATTGTTCCGCCGCCCTCATCTAGATCACGCATGCCTCCGCACACGGCCTCCTCGAACTGCGTCTCTACCGCACACGCTTGCCACATGCGACATCCTCCATCTTCCTGTAGGAGAAGCCTGTCCGCGCGACAACTGATCAAGGCGACGTCCTCCACATCGACCTTCTTCACGCGCATCATCAACCATCGCCGCCATCATTACTCTGCTGTCAACACCCGGCTTGATTAATACTTTGCATGCCATCGCAGGCGCAGGAAGTGGAGCCGTGGAGGTGCACGTCGCCGGCGATTAGCGCACCTACACAAACCAGCGAGTGCCATGCATGCCCACAAAGCCAGAGTACGTCCTTTGTAGCTACTGCTTTGTTTTTTTTATATTTGATCAAATTCACTCCATCCATTCCACCTCATGCAAGTTCGATTCTTTTTATTTATATCAATTCAGCAGATGTCATCCTGAGCTTTCCGTATTTACTTTGTCTAAATTCTATAGTTAGTATGAACCACAATATAGATTTTGCTCCTTTGGTCAGTCAATAATGAAAGGAAAACTCTACTAGAAGCATTAAAGTATTTCTGTGAAATAAAATCTCCTCAAAACTGCCTTTTTTCCACAATGTGTATTTCAAATTAAATGATTGTTATATGAACTAAAAGAGTTGTTTATCTGTTTTTTATGTTTTTGAAAGGGCAGCCTGCGTTGGGGGCATGCTGCAGAACCAATGTTGGCGGATTTCACATAATCACATTACTGATTTTCTGAGGCAGCTTCTCTCTCTAAAATTTCCTTATCACACGTAGGTGATAGCAATATAATTCTGAAGTACTTCATATTGTTTGTTTTTCCTACCACGTAACAGTACCATTTCACATTGAACAGGGCAAGTATTACATGGGAAAAGGCTGAAGAGCTGAAGAAGGAGCATTGTTATACTATTATATGGCAGAGTTGCGGATATTTAAAGTATGAAACTTGTATATATTTTTCTGTTGTTATATAAAGCTTCGAATTCTTGCATTCTTGTTTTGAATGAATTTGTATAAAGTGCATAGGGTATAACTTTGTATTTTAGAAATTAGTTATGTCGGTGCAGAAAGTGACCAACGCGTAAATATTTGTAGTTTTGCCGTACGTTGTGATCGGATGTGGCCTAGCACTCAATGACATAGGGTTTATACTGGTTCAGGCAACGTGCCCTGCGTCCAGTTTGAGTCAGTCGGTGACTTTATTCCAGAGCCCAGGTGCTCGAAGTTTGCTGTGGGGTTACAAATAGAAGGGAGAGAGATGGGGGGTTCAAGAGGTCCGGTCGGACTCCGGTCTGAAGGGCCGAGAGTGACGCGAGCTCTGCTATGCGCTAAGTGTTCGAACGTCTATTGTTCGTTGGGATCCCTGATTGTTCGGATTGTGTGTGTTGTTTTAGTTGTGAACTGATTCGCCTCGGAGTTGATCGATCGTCCTTTTGTTGGGAGAGAGCGCATCCCCTTATATAGATGAAGGGGACGGCCTTTTCAGGAGAGAGAGAGAGAGAGAGAGAGTACGTATGTGTCGGATACCAGAAAATGGGGTACCCCAAGCAAAGATCGAAAAACTGCTTAGACCCTAAGAACAGAACCAACGGAATAAACAAACGAGGTCTCGGCCGAAATCTCCGATTGGCCCGAGACCCCGTCGCCGAGCCCCAGCGGAAGCGAGCGATTCTCCGACTCGCCCGAGACCGCCTCGCCGAGGCCCCCTCGTCGAGGCCCCCTCGCCCGGGGCCTCGAAAGAAGTGGCGATTTTCCGATTCGCGCGAGGCCGGCTCGGCACCAGCCCGTGTGACCGCCTCTTCGACCAAATCGCTCACGAACGAGCGTCGCATCAAGCGCCCAACCACTCCGACAGGCCTTGCGATGGCACAAGATGCAATGAAGTGACCGACTACACGCCAGCCGATCGCGTCAACCTCCCGCCATCCGAGGCAGGCGGCAGAGCGGGGGTTACCGACCACCGTGTGTTGCCTAACTCCTGCACCAAGGACATCGCAACATGGGGAGTTAGAACGGGTTCCTGTAGCCTCGGAATCAGCGGACCGACCGCTCCGTCTCGCCCGAGCCCCCTCGATAGGGCCTCGGAGTCACTGATCTTACTCCGCCTCGCCCGTCCGCCTCGCCCGAGACCCCCCGGTAGGGCCGCGGATGAATTGGCCACGCTCCGCCTCGCCCGAGGCCGGGCTCGTCCCGCAACCTCGTCGCCTCCGCCTCAAAGGTCTCTATGGCAGGCCTCATTCTGTAATTCATATCACCTCCCCTCACAGAGACCTGGGACGAACTCCCTCTCTCGCCTAGCTTGTAACCCCCTACTACGAGCACCCCGGTGCAAGGAATACAAGAACATCTTCTCGGGATCGGGCGTAGGGCATTCATTGCCCGAACCAGTATAAACCTTGTGTCTCTTTGCGTCACCATCCGGAATTGGGAGCACGCAACACAAATTCACTAGTCGGTTAAGGACCCCCGGTTCCGAAACACCAACAGTTGGCGTGCCAGGTAGGGGTCTCTACGTGTCAGCTTAGTCATCCCACCAGATTCCGGATGGCAGATCCCGTGCGATCGTTGCGTCTCGGGATGATCGTCTGGTTCGGGAGCCTAGAATTCATGTCTCTAGGGCACGAGTACGACATGGTACTCCTCTCACCCAGAGCGCCATCAACCGACGACGACGTCATGCACCGGCAGCCCACGCACGACGGCGCGCTCGCGCCGCTCCCGTCAAGCTTCGCCAAGCGCCACGCTGGTGAGTCCACCTAACAACACCGCGCAAGTACAGAACGCCGATCCGTGCTCCACCGGAATCCCATACCCCGCTGGCACGCACGAGTCCTCAAGACGGGGACCCGTCCCGACTTAAGCCTCGGCAGGGAAAAAGGGCGGTGGCGCCGCAGCGATGCCCCATCATCAATCTCATCCCCGCCTCCTCCCATGAGCCCAGCTCTGGCGGAGCGAGAGCTGGCGACGGCGCCATCCCGTACCCTTTCGGGCTGACCAATGTCGCCGCCTCCTCGCCACCGCCCTCGTCTCCATTCATCAACGCCATGCCCATAACCCCATAGTCGCAACTCCAATCCACCCCACTTTGACTCCTCGGAGGAGGCGGGCGTGGGTTGGAGCAAACTTCTTCGGGCTTCGCGACCCTGAGGCGATGCGCCGCTTCATGATCGCGAGACTCTATCGCCCGGCTACTCCGATTCCGGCTAACGAGGACGCCGACGACCCGACTCGTGAGTGTTTCCACATCGGACTCGGAATGCCGAGCACGGCAACGATGGAGGAAGGGCAGCCAACGCCACACCACCACGCACGGGGTCCCCGCCAACGGCCAGCAGTGTATCCCCACCCCGATCAACTTCGACGCGCCAGACCTAGAGCGGCTCGTGAGCTTCAAACCAAGGTCGAGCAAAGATCGACTCCTCTGCAGCAGCTCCGAGCCACCCTCGAGCAAGAGCGGCGAAGCGCGGCGATGGCGGAATGGCGGGTGAGGGCTTGCGATGTCAACCGCCAGATTAACGATGATGAGGGGGGGCGAGCAACCCCAGTATTCATCGCGCTAGCGAACGTCGCTGCGGCGGCGATCTCGGTCTCGAAGATGCCCGAGCCCTCTACCACGGAGGGGCGACGGGTCCACGGCAAACTCCGGGGCCTTCTCGAGACTGCCACGGTGCAGCAGGCCGAAAGCTCCGTGTCTCAACGACGTGGGGACGCCTCGAAACAGCCCTCGGTGCACGACCGCCTCAGGGCCCCCTCGGTGCACGACCGCCTCGACGACCAACGCGATGCGCAAAACGGCCACCACATGGGCAGCAGACAACGACGCCACGACCACGATGGGGCCACCCGGGGCTACCAATTGCACCGAGGCGGTCGCTATGATAGTGGGGAGGACCGCAGTCCTTCTCTCGGGCCGCCTGGCCCTAGAGTTTTCAGTAAGGCCATCCACAGCGCCCGCTTCCCGGCCCAGTTTTGTCAGCCAGCGAATCTCTCAAAGTACAGCGGCGAGACCAACCCCGAGCTATGGTTGGCCGACTACCGTCTGGCTTGTCAGCTAGGCGGTGCGGACGATGACCTGCTCATCATCCGCAACCTCCCCCTATTTCTGTCAGACTCAGCGCGAGCCTGGCTCGAACACCTTCCCCCTATGCAAATCCACGACTGGCGCGACTTGGTAAAGGTCTTCGTCGGGAATTTCCAGGGCACCTACACGCGCCCCGGGAACTCCTGGGACCTCAAGAGTTGCCGCCAGAGGCCAGACGAGTCTCTCCGAGACTTCATCCGACGTTTCTCCAAGCAATGCACCGAGTTGCCTAGCGTCGGTGACTCAGAAATCGTCCAAGCATTCCTCTCCGGCACCACCTGTCGAGACCTGGTCCGAGAATTAGGCCGGAGCGCATCACCACGCACGCGTCCGCACTCCTCGACATCGCCACCGGCTTCGCCTCCGTGAAGAGGTTGTCGGGGCCATCTTCTAACAACGACTCCAAGGGGAAGAGGCGGATGAGACCCCTGGGCCTCGACGTCTCGCCCCAGAAAAAAAAGAAGAAGGATGCCAGGGAAGCAGGGAGGTTCTCGAGGTCGGGCTCGCCGCGTCATGGACCCGCAAGAATCCCCGAGGCCCAGGGCTCTTCGACAACATGCTTAAAAGACCCTGCCCATACCATCAGGGCCCGGTAAAGCACACCCTCGAGGAGTGCACCATGCTCCGTGATACTCGCCAAGCTCGGGCCCCTAACGACGATGCCAAGAAGAGGGGCGGGACGACGGAGACAACGACAAGGACGATGGGTTCCCGAGGTACACAATGCCTTCATGATCTTGGTGGGGCCCTCGGCGTGCCTCACGGGCGCCGACAAATGAAAAGGGAACGCCGAGAGGTCTTCTCGGTTAAGGTAGCCACTCCCGGTACCTTGATCGGTCTCGAGGCGATCACCTTCGATCGGGATGACCACCCCGATCATGTCCCAAACCCCGCCCGAGACCGCTCGTCGTTGACCCGATCATTGGGAACACCCGACTCACCAAGGTGTTGATGGACGGAGGCGGCCTCCTCAACATCCTCAGACGCCAACACGCTGGAGCTCCTAGGGCTCGACCGGTCACAACTCCGAGGCGACGCCGCGCCTTCCACGGCATCATGCCAGGGGATG